CATAGTGGAGGGTTTTTACGACGAGCAGTAGAAGCAAACGTGACGGAAAAATCTGCGACGGAATTCGTGCTCTGATACATCACGAACCCCTGGGACTTGATGGCCTTCTCATAGCTCTATTTAAAGATGACAGAATAAACCTTGTTAGAACACTGCAATTTGCCGAAGGACTTGCATGGGCACTCGAGGACTAATAAACTTATGGATAAGAATAAAGACTATTCACCTAATATCGGGCAGGTCACTTATAGAGTTTTGGCGAGCAAGCGGTTAAATTCAATGACAAAAGTGAAACAAACTAGATCTCAGTAACTCACCTCATGCAATCGATAATCAGACAGATTGAATGGTAGCACATTGGAGTCGTTTATCGCTGTGATGATGACCTGACGTGCGGCTGTTGAGAAAATTTTGTTTTCAGCCTTTAAAGCCTCGTCGTCTATGACAGATAAAAATAAAACGGAATTCGCGACAGGGTTTGTAGATTGTCAAAAAGAAACGTTCGGGAAACCGTTTTCACTTCATATGGGACAAAGTTGTCCTGCGGGGATTTAGAATTACCCAACATTGGACACAATGCTAAATTAGTTCATCCTCATGTTAGCGACTATCACTGAGTCAATGACTGCCTAATTCATGCTGACAAAACGGTACAGGACCCGACTTATATTCAAATGTAGAATACAAGAAGGTTACAACATAACATGATTCAACAATCTCATCAGTTGTTCTCAACTGGAAACAAGCACTGAGTGAATAAAGGTGGAAGTAAATGCACAACCACAGATTTGGCTCCAAAGCATTTCGTTACCGTGTAAGACAGATCAAAGTGATCAACGCTAGTTTGTTTTGAATCGTGGGAGTGGTTGATTCCACTCTGATGCTGACTTTTATTGTCCATTTGACACATTGTAACGAGACGATGTGATTTGAATTTTTTACAACAGTTCAAAACAGTTCTTTTTTATAGCGGAACTCATCGTTTCTCGCAGGTTAAGCCTAGGCGATGAAGACAATCAATGTCGTGTGTAGTGGCCATGGAAGACGGAGTGCTCTTACGAATTGTTTTGGGGAACATATGGGGGATTACGTAGATGGATTCCGATTGCTTACGCTGTAGCCAGAATGCAACTCATAATCCCTTTAGATCGACGGCTGCCAGCTAAATCAAAGTCAAAGTTTTATTATGGGAATTACTTACAAACTCATGCTTCTCTTTTCCCCATAGAATGTTCACATAGTCGAATCGTTTCTTAGAGTTCTAGGTAACAGATGATGTAGTCTTCAGCAGATTTGCGTTTGTTCTCTACTTGTGTAGAAATGTGAGGTGTGCCAGGGTTTCACCTAGTCTCCGCTTGAAAGATTCAATAGTTGGTGCACAAACGCCGTGAAATGGAAGGGTATTCTAAGTACTGCATACTCCGATTGCAAAAGATTGGAGTTGGCATTCCAGTGGACACTTTGGAATCAGTAACTTGAAACGGTGTCCCCTAAGGCGCAAATTATTCGATAACATAGGCAGTGGCCGATTTGGATTGCTTGGGTTCTGCAATATTTAATACGTCAAAATCCATTCTCCCCGGATTCTGCTGTACTGAGGAGAGTACAGTCCCAATGATCGTAACCTCCCCTCATAGGTGAGGTTGTGCAATCCCTTGACTATCTTGGTGGCCATCCTTTGCGGATGCTCAGGCATCTTGCGATCACGTTGCAACCATGGGCTAGAAGCTCGGATAGGGTACTCTGTTTACGGTCGAATATACACTGATAACAAACGAGGGAACAGTGCTGATTCAAACGGGCCAAAGACTCGCCTAAGTAAGCCGACATTTTTCACAACAGAGGACGAAGCCTTAGTGCAATTGATCAAACAGCTCAGGTCCTCTTGAACAGCTTTACCAAGTCCTTTTCAATTAAAGTTTGTGGTAGCTTGTGATTCCCGAGGAAATACGAGAATCTCCCCTTGTGGTGTATGGATAGGATTTTGCATTTATAAACATTGAATTCAATGTCATTCTCCTTAGACTGCGTTAAGTGTCTCTTGAAGTGTTAGAGAGCCCCCGGGTTCTGTTTCTGCATTCCAGATTCTGGCGTCGTCTGCAAACAGCATTGATTTTGGATCTAACGCGTTCGATGGATCAGCTATGGGTGCGAGGAAAAGACGGGGACCGAGTACAGACGCTTGTGGAACACCGGGGGTGGCATTGATAAATCCGGATATGGAATCAGAAACACGAACTCATATGGTCCATTGTTCGCGGAATGCTGCAATCCAATCAAACACAAAATCTCGAATGTCGTAATGGTAGAGCTTCTGTAACAATATTTCGCGATTCACTCGATCAAATACCTTCGAGAAGTTGAGATAAATCACATCCACCGCATCCCCTTCGTCGACTGTTCTGGTCCATTCATCTCGAACAAGAAGCAGATTGGTGGAGCAGGATCGCTTCTACCTGAACCCATGTGCAGCTGACGAAAGAATGTTGTATCTTTTGAGGTGTTCCATCGGAGAATCTGCTACAATTAACTCCATGATTTTTGATAACACCGGAAGCAGGGTTAAAGGTCGACAGTTAGCGGGTCACTACGACAACCATCCTTGTATATGGGCGTAATAGCTCCTTGCTTCCACAATTTTGGGAGTGTTGCTTGGTCGAGCATTCGTTGGAACAGAATAGCTAGCGATTCAGATATGTGATTCTCCAAAAAGATCAGGGATTTCGGGTGTATGTTGTTTGCACCTGGGGTTGCATTTTTTTCGCAAAGCCATTAGTTTTGCCTTGACGTTTTTAGCAGTTGGTCAGCGAAGCATATGGGAGATGATGCAACCGGGGAGGTAGCTGTAGACCTCCAACCTGCAGTGCAGTGAAAACGTTGAAATAGTGAGTTTGCAGCATTTCAGCTGCTTCCGTTGAAGTGGCTGCTCTTTCAGCGCAGCTTAGTGCCCATATGGCAAGCTTTACTTTCCGAATAGGGTTGACGAGCTCATACAACAGATTAGGGTCAGAGATGGATTGTTGTGCTAGCGCCTCTTGGCATTTCAGTTTATCCTCACAAATCAGCCTAGTGCAGTAGTTTCTCAGCATGCCATAGTTATTCCACGTGACAACATTCGGAAGACAGTTATAATCTCGCCAGGACAGATCCCTCAGAGATAGCCATTTCCTCGTTCGGCTTCGAATAGGTGAATTTCGGATGCTAGATTTGGTTATTACTCTAATCCTAGTCACTGATGTCATTAGGTTTGTAAGAATGTCAAAAAATTTCTGTCAGGCGACCAACGAACTGGATGCATCGTCATAGGGAGCCCACTGAGCAGAGAGCGCTAAGTTTTTCAACAGTGTACAGTCTATGGATCTAGGTGTTATCTGGGGAACTTCCTTGAATTGAGGTGCAACAAACATATTTCAATGTAAATACTGCGTGATCGCTGCGTCCTAGGTGATTCTACTATCAGCTCCTC